GAAACAAACCTGGATAGATCGCCAGCATTGACCTCGACCATTGGAAAGAACAACAACACACTTTAACTGGTTAACCTCCTTTACTAACATCTGGGGACTTCTGCCAAAATCAGAAGAGTTGTCTCACAGACTCATCTAGAAACAGTCTGACACAGTTCTGCTCACCTAATACTTTACAGCCAATGACCCAGACACCATCTTGACCATGACATCAGTGATTTACCTGGTGTTATTTCATTTTAACTTTTTTCTGTAGTTTGGTAGAATTCAGTGTCTTTCAATTTCAGAGGAGAGTGAAGAGCCAACCACATTGTATGTTGTGCAGTCACATGGGCCAGACCAGGTTTTCTTCCTTAAGAGAATCAGTGAACCGGATGTGTCCTTATGATTTAATATTGCTAAATTGGATAGATTCAGAACAGATTGAGCAGCCATGAGACACTGCGCTGTCAACAGCAGAATTATATTCATCCACAGTTGTAAGCATGTTGCCTAGCAAAAATACCCCACCCTGTTGTTAAAGCTGGATGATCAATCCTAAATCAATGAAGAGTGTAGAACAGTAAGCTAGGACTAATACCAAGCATACTTAAAAATGAGGTGCCAACTTGTGAATCTACAACACAGCAGTAACAGAAGGGATGGGTAATTCTAAGTGATCCTACAACCAATGGAGCAGTTCAAAGCTTTGTAGTCCTGCCACATCCCAGTCATGAAAGGTGGAGTGCAACACAATAGGCTCCAAAAATATCCCCATCCTTAATAATGAGGGAGCCCAGCATCAGTTTGAAAGAAAGAGGGTGATCACCATTACACGTGTTGTTCAAGTAAATACTGTGGGAGATAAAATTCCCAACTCCGAACTAAGGTGAGTGACTTACCACCCAACTTCCCAAGGTGTCTCCACATCTACACGGTACAACTCGGTACATGATGAAACACTGTCCACTTACTTAAATGAGTGCATCTGCAGGAACACACTAGAAGCTTGACACCACCGAGGGCAAAGTAGTCTACTTGTTTGGGACCCCATCTACCAGCTTCAGTATCTGCTTCCTTCCTACTGCAGCAGCATGCCTCCTATACCAAGTGCACTGCAGCAACTCATCAAACCTCCTTCAACAGCACATTCCAAATCAGCAATCTCTACCATCTAATAGGACAAGGGCATCAAACGCACGCAGAGAATACCCCTAAAAGTACCCCTCCAAATCCCATGCCATCCTTACTTAGGCGAATATCGCTGTTCTTTCACTGTTGCTGGGTCAGAGTTCTGAAATTCGAACCTAACTGCATTCTGGGCGTAGCTACGTTAGATGAATTGCCGAAGTTCACAAAGGTGCTTGCCAGCATCTTTTAGAAAGTAATTGGGGATGGGCAACAAATTCTGGCCAGCAAGCAACAGTTGCATCTCCAGAAAAAGACACAAGAAATATCAAGTTGTGATCCAAACTCCTTCAGTAAACGCTACTTCAGTAAACGTTTTTAAAAAGGTAGATTTTTTTGAACAATAAAAGAATTAAGGGATACGGTGAGAACGCGGGTAAGTGGATCTGAGTCCACGAAAAGATCAGCCATGATCTTATTGAATGGCGGAGCAGGCTCGAAGGGCCAAATGGCCTACTCCTGCTCCTAGTTCTTATGTTCTTATGTTCTTTTGCACGTTTAGAATTTTTAGTAACAAAATGCTGTTTTGCTTTAATTTAGATCTGATAGAATAGGAATTATACTGTTGGTTCTTCCTTTCAGTCGAATTAAGAAGATAATGTCTGTATATGGAAGCAGCATTGATGTGGAACTTCAGCAAAGGGCTGTTGAATATAATGCACTTTTCAAAAAATTTGATCATATGAGGTATGTGCAAACCAGTTGGTAATTCGTGAGATAAGGTCGAATGTTGAATTCGAATGGTTTCAATTTGCCAATGTGTTAATCTTTTTTGAAGTTTTTTTTAGGACCAAATATAAATTGTTGCATGCTAGAACTAGAGAATTGATTTTAGCAATGTTAAAAATCAATAATTTCTTGGTATATCCAGATGCTGCATTGTTTGTTCTGGTTGTCACACTTATTCTGTGAGCTGTGTTGATGGAGATGTCACAATTGTTGCCAGTTGCAGTAAAATCCTTGCAGCTGGAGCTTTGGCTTTTTTATAGATATTCCTTCAGAATAAAAGAATAATGGTAAATCTGAATCAATCTTTAAATAGTATGGGGAAATTAAATCAGCCTGTGTAACCAGTTCAGTTTCAAGCAATTTGTGAAAGGAGCCTGCACGGAACTTTCTTTCAAAAGCGAAGTTGGAAGAGTGATTGATTGACTTCAGGATCTCATAAGACTGATAACTGGGGAGGTATAAAAAATCAAATATCTTGCTTCACACTCTCAAATAGGAGAATTAATCTAAAAAATCTTTGCAGATTTCACTGCTGTGTCATGAGGTGTTCTGTATCTAATAATGACTTGGAAGAATGAAAAGCAGCTAGTTTATCAAAGTTCCTTCTTGTTGTGTATGCTGTTTTTAAGGCTTTAGTTTGTTTATGAATTGGAACTGAACTGAGATAAAAAAAGAACTAATCTCAACATTTTAAAAAAAAGCTTTGCAAAGCCTTGTCTCTGCAAATGAAACTCTTGAATAGCCTGATCTCTCCTAATTGGCAAAATAAAATAACTTTGTACTGCAATGAGGTTTTTGATTTGACAAAGTTGCTGCTTCAGGGCAAATTCTAGAGATGGCAGGAACATGACTTCATTTTGAGTGGATTTGCATGCTGACGAACATGTAATAATTCAAAGCAAGTAATTCATGTTCCATCATCTTTGAGCTGACTCTTTACAGCTAAGCAACTAATCCCACTCAGCTCATTAAAAACAAAATGAATAGGCAATTTGGCAAGAGCAATATACTTTCAGCATGTATACTTATCGTACCATTCTACATTATTGAAAGCTTTATGTATCTTTTCAACTGTCCATTTAAAGCAATTCAGTGCTGCTTCAATGTTGGATTGGTTCACCAATCCAAAATATTAATTAATTGTTGTATCTATGTCCAATTAATTTAAAAAAAACTTAAAGCATTAAGTTGAAGATGAGAAAAGGAGATCATAAGTTTATGAACTTCCATTATAACATTTATCTGCTTCTTGAACATCCATAATATAAAGTACTTATAAGAATTTGACATTACATAAAATAGAATATGAAATATGACCAATGAAATATGAAGTTAAATATGTCTACGCTGTGAACTTGAGTTCTAGATATGTTCTAGTTTTCCCATATACTATAATTGGTCTTTCCAGTGCCTTGGTAGAACAATATACTGTTGTTTCCAGGTGTCCTTTTTGTACATCCCCCTTTAGCCTTTTTTAATCTGTAGGTTTATGACTATTATGCAAAGGTTACACTTGAGTTTTGTTAAACAGTTATCATTTATGATCCTGGTGTTCAATTAATCCATGTCATCTTGCAAATATTTTTCTGTATCTCCTCCCAGCTGCATTTGTGTTGTCAGCAAATTTTAAGGTGCTTTCCATCTGCCTTTAATTCAAACTTCTTTCATCCAGAAGACTTGGTACTGTTTCAGCACTGTCAGTAATACTAGAGTAGGAGGAAGATGTTCTACTGGGACAAGCTTCACTTGAACTTGATGGCATTAGTGACCTGGCAAATCAAATGCCAACAGCTGTAAAACGACTAGAAACTAAATAAGGGTGTGGTGGTGGGAAAGGAGGTATTTAGGCTTACAAAGTGAAAGGATAGGGCAATATTTAGGTACTGATACAGGGTGAAATGGGAAGCAGTGTACAAACCTTTCAAAAAAAACCAAATAGTGAGGGGTGGGGGTAATATGATAAGCCAGAAGACTGGTTTTGAAAAAATTCGAAAAAGATGACCCGAAACAGAAGGGAAAACGTAAACATTGAAGGTAAACTAGTAAGTAAGGCAAAACGGACAGTAAAAGCTCATTTGAATACGTAAAAGGAAAGAGAGGAGTCAGTGAATATAAGCCTGTTTAAAAAAAATAAGGGAAAGTCATAGTGAGGACACACAAATGGCAGAGGAGTTGAATAAATACTTTGTGTCAGTCTTCTCAATAGAGGGCACTAATGGCTTTCCAAAGCTACAGAATAATCCTGAGGAAAGAGTGAGGAGAAAATAAATATAGCAGCTATTATTAGAGAGAAAGTACAGGGAAACTATTAATGAAGTTTAGACCAATAAGTCTCTTGCACCTGACGGATTGCATCCCAGGATATCAAAGAAAGTAGCTGCAGAGATTGAAAGTGCACTGGTAGTAATCATGCAAGAATCCTTAAATTCTGGAAAAGTCTCAGATTGGAAAACTGCCAATGTAACACCTTTTTCAAAGAAAGACAGAAATGGGAAAACGTTGAGTTTATTATTTAGGATGAAATAGAGCATTTAGCAATGCAGCAGAGTCAGCATGGCTTTATGAAGGAAAAATCATGCCTGACAAATTTATCAGAATTTTGAAGATGCAACAAGCAGGATAAATAAAGGGGAATCAGAAGATATACTTTTTGAATTTTCATGAGGCTTTTGATAGAGTCAGAGCCCATAATGTTCGGTGTAGTGGATTAGCATTGATATCGTATTGGCTACCTAATAGAAGATGGAAAGTTGAGATAAGGGATATTTCTGCTGGAGCCGCAATCATTTAAAATAGAAATTAATGACTTGGGTGACAAGCGAGTGTACTATCAGCGAGTTTGCAGGTGGTGCAAAAGTAGTTGGGAAGGCAGGCAGTGAGGATTTAGTGTCTGTAGAGGGATATAAGCAGATTGAGTAAGTTAACAATTGGGCAGATGGAATATGTGAGGTTATGTACTTGGCAGGAGGAACAGAAAAGCATAATATTACTTAAATAGTGAGACTGCAAAAGGAAACGCAGTATAAAAATAGGGAAGCTATCCTAAAACTAGGCACTGGTTAGACCACACCTCGAATACTGTGAACAGTTGGTTCCCTTATCCAAGAAAAGATGTACTGGCATCCAGAAAGAGTTCCATAGGTTGATACTGTGTATGAAATGATTTCCTTTTATGAGGAGAGATTGAGTAGGTTGGGTGTGTACTCATTGAAGTTCAGAAAAGTAAGAAGTAACCTTATTGAAAAACACAAGATTCTTGTGGGGCTTGACCGGGTAGATGCTGAGGTTTTTTCGCCTTGTAGGAATTCCAGAACAAGAGGGTGTAATCTTAGAGTAAGGAGTTGCCTATTTTAAACAGAGATGTGGAGGAATTTCTTCTGACTGAATAGTCGTAATCTGTGAAATTCTTCAGCACTGTTGGGCTGGTCTGTTGAGATTTGGGCCGTGAAGGGATATTCAAGGCTGAGATAAACCGATTTCTAATTAACGTGGGAATGGCGGGTTATGGGGGGAGAATGCAAGAAAATGGAGTTGATGTTTGCCACAACAGTCATGATCTCATTGAACGGTGGAGCAGACTCGTTGGACTGAAAGGCCTACTTCTCCTATGTGTTGCTTTTTTCATGCAAAATTGTACTCCTGTTATTTACTTTGATCCAACTCATCGGGTAAATCATTCTGATGGCCCACCTTCCTGCTTTTGCTACCAAAGTGGATAACCTCACATTTATCCACATTATGCTTCATCTGCTATGCATTTGCTCACTCACTTAACTTGTCCAAGTCACAATGAAGCATTGCTACATTCTCCTCACGCCTCAACCACCCATTCAGTTTTGCGTTATCTCCAAACTTGCAGACATTACATTTGATTTTCTATCTAAATCATTAACATATATTGTGGATAACTGGGGTCCAAGCACTGCGGTAACCCGCAGTCCCTGCTTGCCACTTGGGAAAAAGACTGGTTTATTCCTAGCGTTTATTTCCTGTCTGCCAGCCAGTTCTCTGTCCATGTCAGTACACTAACCCCAATCTCATGCTTTTTAACTTTACATGCTAATCTGTTATGTCGGGCTTCTTTGCACCTACCCTGACCATACACTTAGAAATATATCCCAACAACGAGCATTTTAGTATCTTTGGCAACCGTTTGGGTGCCTTGCTAACCATGCTGACTTGCTGAACTGTTTTAAACATTTCAAGCAAATATATTTATTTTGCTGTTTTATTAACCAATAACGAGAATGAATATGGAAATAAAATTATTTGAATTGTGATAAATTTTGTAGTTACAGAAATTATTGCTATCTGCAGGCAACTTGCGATAAGCATGTGAGAGTATCAAATAAACTTTGTAGATGGTTTTACTTAATTTTGAGGATAAACATTTTGGCTAGAATAAATAAAACTTGTAATTATTTCAGGAATCATGTCACCCAAGAATTATAAATGATTTTGAAGGTTGAAATTTGTGCCTAACAGATCTGCACTGCTGGAGCGAATGCCTATAATGGAGAAAGTAACCAATGGACCTACAGAAACTGCACAAACTAATGGAGAGTCAGAGCCTACAATATTGGAACCAAAATTGGTGCTCAGTGCTTCTCAGCCTAGTAATCAGGTAACTTAAATTGGTATATTTCCACAAATTTGAAGTATTGTGAGTTGAATGATAGAATTTTTGGTTCATGTTATTGTAGGACACTGACTGAAGGGGTTGAAATCTCTAGATCCATGTAATTTTGTACCTTGTCAGTTCTAAAGTAGATGTACGTTTTGGGAAATTTTAAAAAATATGTGGGTGTCATTGGTAAAACCAACATTTTATTCCCATCCCCAGTTGTCCTTGAGAAGGTGGTGTTGAGAGCCACCACCTAGAATCACTGCAGCCTGTGTGGTGTAGGTATAGTGTTCCAGGATTTTGGCCTAGTTAATATCGAGGAACAGCAGTGTATTTCTAAGTCTGGATTATGTGTAATTTGAAGAACATTGTATTGGTGTTCCTGTGCACCTGTCACCTTCATTTCTGTGTTAGAGAAGGTGGGTTTGGAAGGTTCTGTTGAAGGTTGGTGTGATATACATTATCAACTGAATCCACATTTTTCACTGATGTATTACTGGTGGAGGAAGTGAATGTTTAAGGTGAATGGTTGCCAATGAAGCATGATGTTCTTTTGGGGAAGGTGATCAGCCAGAGTTTCTGGTCCACTTTGGTACCAGTGGGAAAGGTAGAAGGGGGTTGTGGAATCGCAAAGTGGCAAACTAACAAGCAGCACATCAAATGTCATAACCTCTGTAGTTCTCCTAGTGTCACGTACAAGTGAGTACGGAAGGAGAGGGTAATACTGATAAGTGTATAGCTGGAAAAATGGTGCAGAAGGGAAAGCTTTAAATTCTTGAAAAACTACAGCTGGCTCAGGAGAAGTTGCACTTATACAAGCTGGGTAGAATGCACCTGAACCGAGCAGGTCTGAGTTCTTGCAGGTTATTCTGCTAGTGCTTTTTGTGTTTTTTTTTAAAAAACATCCCTGTGAATCGGGGAAGAAATATTAGAGTAATATTGGGAGATTACTGTGAGACATAGCACTAGAATAGAGAGTAATAAGTTAATGGGTGGAGTTGATGGAAGGGAGAATTTAAAACATTCCAAATCAGGATTGGACTGCATATATGCAACTACTTGGAGTATAGTAAATAGGATTCATGAGTTACAGACTCAGATTAGCTTGTGGAGTTGTATTGTAGCAATAATAGCGGCCTGCCTGAAAGAAACCCAGGACTGCATGGTTACAGGGTGTTCATGAAAAGAAAAGGAGAGGTGGTGGTCTTGATAAAAGAGCTTTGGAGCAAGAGGATGTCTGAGTGTTTGAAGAGCAAAATCAATTTGGCTAGAATTAAGAAAAGAGAAGGATGCAATTATATGGCTTATTGTAGACTACAAACCACCAAACTAGTGGAAAGGATGCAGGGGAAAAATTCTGCAAGAACATTGGAGAAGTGCAAGCATTATAGAATAAGACCAATTTTGTATTGTTTGAAAAGGAATGAAAAAATAATTAGCAGTTTCATATTAAGCATATACTCCACACCATTTATTTTAAATGTGGATGGGTTGGGCTTAAATAACCTCTGAATGATTTGGACATGACTAAGTAGATCATAGTTAAAAATATGTTAAGGCTTCAAAATTTTGCTTTATTTTGCTCAGATCACAACTGTGGTAGCAATATTATGGATTCCTTTTATTAATTGTATTTAAATCTGATCACTACCTTCCCTAAAATCTTTCCTTGACTATGACCATATGTATTTTAATAATTATATGCAAGAAGTTTCTATGTTCGTGCTTCACGCCTTGCAAAGTCAAATGTTTTCAATGTTTGCACGGTTTGGGAAAAATCCTAACTGGAAGTGTGCAATTAAGGAAGTCTTTTGAAGATGGCATCTAGCTTCCCACTCATGTTACTTTTCCTAATTGACCAGTGACTTATCAACACTTTTTTTTGGTTTTAAAAGATGGAAAAGCAGCAATTTTGAAAAAGTGCAAGAGTATCTAATGGGCACAGACCTTATTTCAGTCTTCAGCATTGAAGAAATAAAATTGTGCAGAAAAGAGCAAAAAAAAAGTATAGAAGCTGCTTTGAAGTCCTCCTATCTTTTTATGAACTGGTTTTCTGTATAATTCAAATTTATTGTTTCCAGTCTTAAAATCCCGTTACTAGGAATTAATAGAATTCATAGATGTACAACTCCACGACTGGTAGTTTCATCTTTCAATGACACTAACGTTTCATTACAACAATTTTTAAATGTTTTTGAAATTCTCTTAATATCTTTAACTGAAATGGTGCTGATACGCTTTGGTTACTACTTAAATGCACCAATATATTTTACAGTCAGAGTTGTTGAGCAATACATTTGACAATTGAAGTGAATGTGAAGACTGGATCATTGATATGCAAATAGATAAAACATGTCCATATCAAAGTAATGGATTGATTTAAAAACAGATTCTAATTGAATTGATCTCTTTGCTATTTTTTGAATGTCTTGAGTTGTTGGTCGATTGTGTATAAAATTTATCCTTTCTTTTCCAGGCTAATGACTTGTTAGACTTGCTTGGAGGAAGTGATGTGACACCAGCAATTCAGACTGTACCACCCAGTAAACCAAGCACAGCTGGTGGAGAGCTTCTGGATCTGTTAGGAGGGCTGGATCTATCAGGTTAGCTTAACACAAACTAGATGTACAGTGCAAGAAGTAAAAGAGCTTTGATTCTACAAGAACTGGATTTTGTCATGGCAGTAATGACCCCAATAATGGACTGGAAGTCCAGAAGCAGCCTGCTTTGACTGTTGGTGGAAGCTCCAGCTACATTTTATGCCTACCTAGCTGCTAATCAGTGTCTGCCTCCCAACAGCCACCAGTCAATTGTTGAACCTGAGAATAGTCTTGGCCATCATGACTTCTGAAGGAAGATGCTTCAGCAGGCTACAGAGTGCCTGAGTGAGACATTCCTTGCTCCAAGCCTACATGGTTGCCTTCAGGGTTCACTAGGCTCTTTTCGTACATGCTAGGGGCCCTTGCACAGCTGGTAAAATTAGTGGTGGCATGAAGAGGTCACTTAAGTGACAATGTGGCCTGCAGATGGGAAGGCTTCTTCTATGTTCTGTACCGCAGGCAGAATTCAGTTCACTTCCTTCCCTTCCATAGTGTTTTTTTTTCCCCCAGCCTCCTATCTTTAGGCATTTAGGTTTGAACTGTGCAACTACATATAACTACTTCTCTTGAAAAATAACACAAACAACCTGCAAATCTAGGGCAGAAAAATATGAGAACACTGAAGATTAAGAATTACTGTAGTAACAGTTAAATTCAAGAAAGATCATTATTGAGTGCCTAAAAATTGTCCTGTAGCTGAAGTAACTTTGTACTGAAGCTGTTTGCATGTTTGACTTCCAGTGAGAGTCCTGACTGACTGACTGAATTTGCTTTTCTGAAGATGGTGGTGTAGATTTTAAATAAAAACCAAAAGAACTGTGGATGCTGTAAATCAGGAACAAAGAAGTTGCTGGAAAAGCTCAGCAGGTCTTGCAGCATTTCTGAAGAAAAGATCAGAGTTAACCTTTTGGGTCCAGTGACCCTTCCTCTGAGCTCAGAACTGTTTTTTTATTTTTGTTGTGTAGATTTTGAATTTCCTTTCAAAATGTTCCACCTGTGATGAGTTTTCCACGTCTGAGACTTTGAGAGGGGTGTCGGAAAAAAGAGGGTTGGCAAAGAATTGCTGCAGGCAAGTTATTGTTCAAATCCAATAGCTTTATTAACCCTGCAAACGTGGTCTGAAAACATTGCAGACTCAGTGTAGTTGAATAGCTAGGTTTCTTTGCAAATGCAACATCTTTCCTTGCTGCACACAAACATTCTTTCTTGGACATTTTTGAAAGAAAAAGATGCAAAGGTACTGATGTGTCCAGTCAATCATCCTCATAACAGACTGCCCTCTAGCAGCAGTTAGAATGTCAAAGCTTTTCACCATTTCTGCATTGTACAAAAGCATAGGAGACTGTAGTTCTCTGATGTGTTCTCTGATGTGTCCTCTGGGAGCAGCTCAACCAATCTGACTTATCAACCTGTAAGCACCTTTTTCTCATGCAGTATAAATTGTTGCTCCCTTTGAAATTTTGTATGCAGGCAGCTGTGTTGATGAAAGCAAGACAAAAAAAAAATTGTCAATGTTTCTTTCTTCAACAGTCCTAACTGAAGGTACTGATTTGATGGATTTGTAATGAAAACCAAGTTGCTCTAATAGTCATTTTAATATAGATTGAAGTCGCATCAGTCAAATCAGCACGGTAGCGAATTGATTGCATTCAAAATAGTGTTTTGGAGCAATATAGTCTGGAGCCATCAACTGGGCAAGTGACAATGAGCCAGACTTAGTCAGAGTCATACAGCACGGAAACAGACCCTTCAGTCCAACCAGTCCATGACGAGCATGATCCCAACTAATCTAGTTGCCCCCTGCCTGTTCCTGGCCCATATCCCTCCAGGCCTTTCCTATTCGTGTACCTATCCAAATGTCTTTTAAATGTAATTGTCCCCACATCCTCCATTTCCTCAGGACGTTCATTCCCCACATGAACCACCCTCTGTGTAAAACAAAAATTGCCCCTCATGTCTTTATAAATCTCTTTCCACTCACCGTAAAAATATATCCCCAAGTTCTGAAATCTCCCATCCTAGGGACAAGACAACTACCATTGATTCTGTCTTAACTTCTCCTTATTTTATAAACTTCTATCAGGTCACCTCTCAATCTCCTATGCTCCAGGGAAAACAGTCCCAGCTTATCCAACCTTACTTTATAAATCAAGCCTTCGATACCTAGCAACATCCTGGTAAATCTTTTCTGCACTCTCCAGCTTAATAATATCCCTCTTATAACTGGGTGACCAGAACTGGACACAGCATTCCAGAATAGGCTTCAATGTCCTGTACAACCTCAATGTGACTTCCCAATTTTCTCACTTGAAGGACTGAGCAATGAAGGCAAGTGTGCCAAACACCTTTTTAACCACCTGTCTATGTGTAACGCAAACTTCAAGGAATTATGTACCTGCACCCCTAGGTCCCTCTGTTCTACAACACTACCCAAGGCCCTACCATTAATTGCATAAGCTGTACCCTTGTTGTACCAAAATGTGATACCTCGCACTTATCCACATTGAGCTCTATCTGCCATTTATTTTAGCCCATTGACCCATTTGATCAAGATCCCTTTTGTAATCATAGAAAACCTTCTTCACTCTCTACTATGCCACCAATTTTGTCATCCGCAAACCTACTGACAATGCCTTCTGTATTCTCATCCAAATCATCTATATAATGACAAACAAAAGAAGACCCAGAACCGAAGCCTGCGGACCACCGGTGACAAGCCTCCAGTCCAAAATGTAATTCTCCTCCACCATTCTGTATCCTGCCATTAAGCCAATTTTATATCCAGTTGGCATGCTCGTCTTGAGTCCCATGTGACCTAACTTTATTAATTAGTCTACCATGGGGAACCTTGTCGAAAGCTTTACTAAAATCCAATAAACAGTGTCCACTGTTCTGCTGCCATCAATCTTTTTGGTAACTTCCTCAAAAAAACTCAAAACAAGTTTGAGATACAAATTTTCTTGCACACAACCGTACTGACTATTCCTAATCAATTTTTGCCTCTCTAAATGCCCATAAATCCTACCTTACAGAGTCATGTCCAACAATTTACCCATAACTGAAGTCAGACCCGCAAGTCTATAGTTCTCCAGTTTCTCCTTACAACCTATCTTAAACAAAGGTGCAACGTTAGCCACTCTCCAGTCATTAGGCACCTTACCCATAGTTAGATGATGCCAGTACTTGTGCAAGGGGTCTCACAATCTTCTACCTTATTTTCCACAACATCCTGGGATACATTCGTATCCCCGTTTTGCCTTCCTGATTCCTTTCTTATGAATGCCCCTACACACTCTCTTTATATTGATTTTAGAGATTCTGTTGAAACAAGTTGTCTATATCGAAAATAAGATTCTCTTTTATTCTTGACTAGAACATCAATATTTTTATTCATCCATTTTTCCTTCATCTTACCAGCCTTATTCTTCATCCTAACCGGACCATAATGCCTCTGAACTCTCGTCATCACATTCTTGAAAGCCTCCCACTTGTCAGACATCCTTTTACCTGCAAACAGTCTACTCGCAACAACTTTTGAAAGTCCTTGTCTCATACCATTAAAGTTTGCCTTGCTTCAATTAAAAACTTTTCACGCTTACGGAAGAGGAAGGCTTATCCTTTTCCAAAACCATTTTGAAACTAATGGAATTATGATTGCTCGATCCAGAATGTTCTCCCACTTTTTACTTCAGTCACCTGCTCTGCCTCATTGCCCAAAAGAAGGTCTAGTTTTGCACCTTCTCTAGTAGGAGCATCCACATGTTGATAAAGAGGATTTTCTTGAACGCATTTTACAAATTCTTCGCCATCCAAACCTTTAACACTGTGGTAGCCCCAGTCGATGTTTGGAAAATTAAAATCCCCCTGTTATTACAACCTTATGCTTACATATATGAGATCTCCTTACATATTTGTTTCTCAATTTCTCTGTTAGTACTGGGGGGCCTATAGTACAATCCCACCAACGTGACCCTTCCTTTCTTATTTCTAATTTGTACCCATATATTTTCACCTGACAATTTTCAGAAATATCCTCTAGTTACAGCAGTGATGTATCCCTTAATCAAAAACACTACCCAACCCCTCCTTTCTTGCCTCCTTTCCTATAGCATCTAAAACCAGAACTTTGATCTGCCAGTCTTGTCTTGTCCACCTCTCAACCAAGTAATAACTATGGTATCCCAATCCCCTGTTCTTAAACATGCCCTGAGTTCATTGGCCTTACCTGTAAGACCCCTTGCATTGAAATAAATGCAGTTTAATTCTTAAGAGTTACTACATTCTCTGACTCTCTCATCTAATTAACATGCTGTCTTCACATTCAGAACCATGCCTATCAATCTTTCTGTTTACACTACTATTTAGAATTCCTCCACTCCCCCTCTTGATAAGTATAAAGTCTTCCTTGATGGAACGAGCAAATCTCACTGCTACGATATTGGTCCCTTTCCAGTTTAGGTTAGACTGATCCTTTTTTGAACAGGTCTTTTCAATCCCAGAAGAATTTCCAATTGTCCAAAAACCTGAATCCCTGAACAATACACCAGCTCTTCACCCATTGATTGGTCTCCTTTATCCTTTGGATTGATTTATTGGCATGTGTACCAAAGTACAGTGAAAATCTTTGTTTACAAGCAGTACAGGCAAGTGACAGGAAGCAAGGATGTACAGATCAGAGCTTGTAAAAAGACTTCGAGGCATACAGGTTACATTGCACAGGACAAACACTACGCGAGATCAACGTTAGCAAAATCAGCATTATCTGAGGCTGGAGAGTCCATTCATCAGTCTCATAACGGCCAGGAAGAAGCTGTTCCTGAACTTGCTGGTGCGTGTGTTCGGGCTTCTGTGACTTCTGTCTGACGGAAGAGGTTGTAGGAGATCCTTACCGGGGTGTAATGGGTTTTTGATGGCAGCCTTTCTGCAACAGCGAACTGTGTAAATGGAGTCCATTGATGGAAAGTTGGCTTCCGTGATGGTCTGGGCTGTGCACACCACCTTCT